ACTCCTAGTATATTGTTTCAAAGGCAGATGAAAAATATTAAAAATCGTTAGTCACAGTTTTTTTTTATAAGCATTTAAAGTTCAAAAATTGACAAAATATGGAAAAATCACGAAAATAAGCAAATTATTTTGAGTTAAGAATTCGCAAAAATTTTTCTTTTTAAATCTAAGATTTGAAAATGTAATACAAGATTATTCATAAGTTTGTCTATCTTTATCAATAAAAAAATCTCTACCGGACAGTCAAAATAAATTTTTATGAGCGTTTGAAATTCAAATTTTTACAACATTGAATACTCGATTACTCATGTAGCGATTTCCTTATTTTGTTGTTATTCATAAACGAATAACTATAGATACATGAAAATTTCACTGAATGTTTATATTATCATTTCCTATATACACCATACAATTTTGAAAATATTTTGACTCTTTTTGAGCTGTTTACGGATATTTTCATTTTTCAATTTTTTTAGTTTTTTTTTTTCTATGAATATCAATAAAGTTTTATCTGTTGGGCCAAAAAGTGTAAAAATTTAATACAAGGCTCCTGATATATTGTTACAATATCAGTTGAAAAATATTAAAAATACATAGGCACAGTTTTTTTTTATAAGCATTTAAACATCGAATTTTGACAGAATTTTTCAAAATCTCGAAAATTATTAATCATCGTAATTAATAAATTATAAAATGTTCAGTTTTTATAGCTAAGGATTGAAAATTTAAAACAAGATTCCACGTAAGTAGTTAATTCTCTTACCAAAAAATCTAAAAAATATACAATCACAGTTTATTTTTATAGTCATTTTATGTTCAAATTTGGACGAAATTACATATTAAAAAACCTAGTTATTTTGTTGTGATTATATAATATTATTCGTGGGTACCTACTTGAAACTTCTAAAGTTTACTATTATATATCAATGATAGTATCAGGATTTGTTATTAATATTGATGTATAACGTGTTATAAGTACCTAATGGATATTGTGATAATGTGATATGATTAATTTGGAATTTATTATAGGTCAATTTTTTTTTTAATACCATAGATATGTATATAATTTGTCTTAAACCTAGACTGACATACCGTCTTCGGTCAGAATCGTTTTTCTTATACAATGATATATTGTATCATTGAATTCAAATTTAATACCATCCATTATACAGTGACCCACTTGTAACCTACAGTACAGCAGAGCGACATCCACTTACCCACCTTTTTTTTAATTTTTATTTGTGTCTGTGTACACGATAAGTAGTCGAAATAATGCTTCGATTTTCGACTTCAGTATCTTGTTCGATTGGAAAGTGAATATCGTTGGTGCATTGGGGAGGTCAAAATTTAAAATTCCCAGTACTTTTCAAAAGCGCCAAGAAAAAGAAAAGAAAAATTAAGGAAAAACGGGAATTTTTACGCAAAATCGATTTTTCAGAAAATTGAATTTTGTTTTTGGTGTAACTTTAAAACAAATGACCGTAGATACATGAAATTTTCACTGGTTGTTTATATTTGCATTTTCTATACACGATAACATTTTCAAAATATTTTGATTTATTTTGAACAGTTTAGGGACATTTTCATTTTTCATTTTTTTTTAGTTTTTTTTCTAGAAATATCAATAAAATTTTATTTGTTGGTTGCTAAAACTTGAAAATTTAATAGAAGGCTCCTAATATATTGTTTCAAAGGCAGATGAAAAATATTAAAAATCCTTAGTCACAATTTTTTTTATAAGCATTTAAAGTTCAAAAATTGACAAAATATGGAAAAATCACGAAAATAAGCAAATTATTTTGAGTTAAGAATTCGTAAAAATTTTTCTTTTTAAATCTAAGATTTGAAAATGTAATACAAGATTACTCATAAGTTTGTCTACCTTTATCAATAAAAAAATCTCTACCGGACAGTCAAATTAAATTTTTATGAGCGTTTGAAATTCAAATTTTTACATCATTGGATGTTCACTCGATTTCTCATGTAGCGATTTCCTTATTTTGTTGTTATTCATAAACGAATATTTAAACATGAAAATTTCACTGAATGTTTATATTAGCATTTCCTATACACCATACAATTTTGAAAATATTTTGACTCTTTTTGAGCTGTTTACGGACATTTTCAGTTTTCAATTTTTTTAGTTTTTTTTTCTATGAATATCAATAAAGTTTTATCTGTTGGGCCAAAAAGTGTAAAAATTTAATACAAGGCTCCTGATATATTGTTACAATATCAGTTGAAAAATATTAAAAATACATAGGCACAATTTTTTTTTATAAGCATTTAAACGTCGAATTTTGACAGAATTTTTCAAAATCTCGAAAATGATTAATCATCGTAATTAATAAATTATAAAATGTTCAGTTTTTATAGCTAAGGAAAACAAGATTCCACGTAAGTAATTAATTCTCTTACCGAAAAATCTAAAAAATATACAATCACAGTTTATTTTTATAGTCATTTTATGTTCAAATTTGGACGAAATTACATATTAAAAAACCTAGTTATTTTGTTGTGATTATATAATTTTATTCGTGGGTACCTACTTGAAACTTCTAAAATGTACTATTATATATCTATGATAGTATCAGGGTTTGTTATTGATGTTGATGTATAACATGTTATAAGTACCTAATGGATATTGTGATAATGTGATATGATTAATTTGGAATTTATTATAAGTCAATTTTTTTTTTAATACCATAGATATGTATATAATTTGTCTTAAACCTAGACTGACATACCGTCTTCGCTCAGAATCGTTTTTCTTATACAATGATATTGTATCATTGAATTCAAATTTAAAAGCATCCCTTATACAGTGACCCACTTGTAACCTACTGTACAGCAGAGCGACATCCACTTACCCACCTTTTTAAGTCTGGTTTTTAAAGTAAAACTGATGCAGGGCGCTCGAACCAACCAGAAACTCGTATGACAACGCGATGGTCCTCAGGAAATCGTCTAACGCGGCAGAGGCTGCAGTATTCGGAAGACAGAAACCGGAAGTGCGTCGTTCGGATATGACTCGTTGCCTTGGGCGTCTGAGCACTGGGGTCTGCGAATGTACCTATCGTTCATAACAATATTACATAATATACACAGGTGTCAGGTACGTAACATAACGAGCGGCGGGCCGGATTTTGAGCAACTGCTCCCATTTTAAATAGGTATGCCACCATTTTCAGAAAAAAATTTAAGTTTTCATCACCTACTCGTATAAACTTGAAGTAAATCAATTTAAAATAAAAAAGAATCTAAAAAATACATAAGCACAGTTTATTTTTATATTCATTTTAAGTTCAACTTTGGACAAAATTACATTAAAAAAAAGGTGCTCTGCTGTACAGTCGTATAGACGTACAGTAGGTTACAAGTGAGTTACTGTATAATGGATAGTATTAAATTTGAATTCAATGATATAATATCATTGTATAAGAAAACGATTCTGAGCTGTGACGGTAAAATAAAACAAAATAAAACAAAATATGTACTCCTACCATTTTTTTTACAATATTATACTTAAAGATTAAGCCATAACATTAATAACTGCGAAATTAGGTAATCTGTAAGATTTTTTGGGGGAGGGGGGTCAATTTATTCTGTGTGCAATTCTTTCACCTGTTAGGACTAGGAAATAGGAATTCCATAAATATAAATATCTCACAAATTTAGCAGATAGCCAAGCTAAATCAACATACTCAGTGTCGTTTTAACTCTCATTGGTGCCCCAGGGCAATCTTACAAACACACAAATGGTCTCTGGTCCAACCAATGGCCAAACCTATCGGCTAATTTCGCATCCAAGGTCAAAAACATTATTCCCAATATTCATAATAAAAAACCCTGGTTAAATAACTGTAATTTAATAATTTAATTTATTTTTTCATCATACCTACTTATATAGTGTTAATACTTAATAATCTAATTGTCGAGCTGGAATTATAAAGAACTAAAGAACCATTGCTAAAACCTTAAACCAGCAGTGTTTGTTGTAATAAATTGTTATAATTGAATCCAGTGACGCCGAATGAAATTAAACTGACATTTGAAATAGTTCTGATTGACTAATTCTATGAAAATAAATTATGACATTCCTGTTTTTAATACAATTATAGGGAAAATACTAGGAAGTATAATCTGTTATTTCACCCACCCACCCTATTTTTAAGACAGTTTAATTGAACTACGTGAAGTATGTGTTCAGGCGTTCAGAGCCACTGATCAAATCCCTGACCAATCGGATATGTAATGCTATAAGTCTACCACTCATTTTCATCAATTTAATAATGCTAAAATTACTTGAATCAATAATTAGGTAAATATTAAATAAAAGTTAAAATAATCATACATAATTTCATAACAATATTTAATCTGTTTATTGGCTGTACTTAGTTCCTTTAGGCAATGTGATAAATGATAATCTTAAACATAACAAATTTTGCTAGCATAATAATGCAAAATATAGTGTCAGACTGTCATAAACAAATACATTTTTGAAATTTTTAATATAGTTAATTTAAGTTATAATTATATTAATTTTTAGATTTATGGATAGATTTATACAATATAATAATAAAGTCATTATTTTAGGTGAAATTTTAAATACATCTACTACTTAATAACTCAAAATACTAAATTGTTCCATTAATTATTGAACAAATAAATAGTAGGTAATTATCTAAATAGTAAATACTATATGATCAATACATTTAAAATATTATTTTTTGTCTGCATAGATTTTTACAAGCTAAATGTAAAATATAATAAATTAATAAATAACAAAATTGACATAACAAACATACAATATTAAATCAGTTGCAAAAAATTAAAAATGTATTAAATTAATTAGTACTTAATGGAAAAAAAAAGAACTTGGTGTTTATTAAATATTGTAAGTAATTACAATAAAAAAACCAATACTTATGGATGCAAAACTGTACATAATAATAATAATGGAAAACTAAAAATATATCAAATCATTGTTGCAAAAGAAATTATTTGTACAATTTATCTGATGTACAACCATAAATCTGATCATTGGACATATGTTGAGTCTTCATAATAAACATGTCGACTTCTTGGTTGTATATCTCTTGGAATGTTTTTCCATCAATTAAAGTGAATAGTGACATACATTTTTTTAATACCTTTCGAGCTTTGCATCGAATTTGGTGTGCTTTATTAACATGTTCAATAGCTTCCTGATCGCTTAAGGACCAGTTATTCACATCACCTACATACTTTGTCACTTTTGTAATTTTATCAATGATACATCTATGTTTTATTAACATAAGAGCATTAAATTGTAATTTACTGATCTCTTCCAATGACTTCAACGCCATTTCATAACTTAATTTGCTATAGTTTATTGATAAAGCAGAGCTTAATTTATTGACACAATCAAGCAAATTTACTTCTGTTAGTAGCAAATTAACTTTATCTGATTTGTTTGATTCAGTTTTTTTCCACTCAACTTCTACATTTGATAAAGAACCCATATTTTTAATCAAATTATTTGATGTATTTCTCTCCTGCAGGTTGCTGTTCAATAAGCATATTTTTTTCGATACACCGTCAAGTGAACATGGTATTGATACGGGCATTGACATTACATTATCTTTCAATTTGTTTATTGCTTTTGTGCTTGAATCTGAAATAAAAAAATAAAAAATATAGCAATTTTTATAATGAAAAATTGCATACAACATTTAAATGACCAAAAACAGATGTCAGTCTATGTATTCTTAAGTTTACTGTATTTGTTGACTGTTCATCAGTATGAAATAATGTTGTAATGCTGTAATAAATATTACATCAATATTACATGGTGCAGCAAAACAGTGTAGTTCTGAAAGGTTGGTACTTCTGTTAGATCCATGTGGGAATTAACTTTATTCAGTAGGGAAAAGACCCACATTCATCTCAGTGGATTGGTGAATAAACAAAATGTTCAATACTGGGCTGAAAATAACCCAAAACCACTCCCCGGAAATAACTGTCCAGTATGATTTCCAAATTTGGTGTGATTGGGACTTATTTTTTTGAAGAGAATGGGCCGAGTGGACAAACCGTGATTGTCAACACTTAACCTTATGATTTCATGATAGAAAATTTTCAGGGCTACCTAAAGGAAAATATTTTAAAAAATCGGCTTACACCGTGGAAGAACTCTGCGAATGAATTAATGAGGAAATCGCTGCCATACCCATCGAGTTATGCCAAATGCTTCAGAAATCACCTTAATCAATGTATTGCAGATGGGGGTCATCATCTTTCTGATGTCATTGTAAGGACTTAATGCATAAAACGGCATGATGTAGTGAATATAATAAAATAATCCTCATTTCTGTAAGTTGCAACTGTTATTTTAATAGCTTTTCAAAACTGCACTGTCTGTTTTGCCGCACACTCTATAAATAAAAATATTGAAGAATAATGAATCAATTTATATTCTTATGTGGTTTTTTAAATAATTATGAGACATTTTTTTTTTAAACATTTTGCATAATATAGGTAATAAAAATAAACAATTTTTAATAATTAAATAACTTGACTTTTTTATGAAAACAGCTTAATAATATTCAATTGAACATAATATTAGTAACTTCTACATTTATAAACTTTATTAGGTAATTGATTACGAAATGGCCAATGTCGTGGATAATATGTGGCCAATGTCGACATAAGCCCAAAATAAATAGATTATTGTCAAAAGGAAAATTTCAAATCTAATTTGGTCATACAGCATAAGAGACATTTAAACACAAGTAACATAAGCAGATTTTAATGACATTGGTCAAATAATCTCAATTTTGTAAAATGTGACATTGGCCCTTCTTGCTTTAAGTCACAGAATTAAGAATATGTAAAAGTGCGATACATTTTCCCTGCATTAAAAACGCCATTTCTTAACTTCTAAAATCATAAATTGTATTAAAATAAATTTTAAGTTATGATATTATATAATACCTATATAATTTTATTAATAACAAAAACTTTTGAGGAAGAGGAAGTCCAGCTTATTTCTATAGGAACATTAATTCCTATATACATGTTAAATTTTAGCTATTCACAAAAATTAACATAAACAAATTGTTAAACATACACAACGTCAACAAAAAAAAACTAATATTTTACCTGTAGTTTTTATGTTTTGTTTTAAAGAATCATCAGTTTCATTATTGTCAGAATTAAGAGTTTTTAAACTTTTGGATTCTGTTTTCTTCAACTTTAAGTTTTTCGGCACATTGGTGACAAAGTCATGGTCAGACAATCTGTTTGGTTTGATTTTACGACCAAAGCGTGATGTACGACCTAAATCTGACTGAACACTCTCATTAATGGTTTTCGATTCTGCAGATTCACAGTGATTTAATGAGATGTCACTGGATTCAAGTAAAGGTTTAGTAGTATTTAGAGTTTCAGAATTTTGTTCATTGGCAGTAACATTTTTTTCAGCAGTCTTAAAATTCTGTAAATTATAATATTATTAGTATTTATTATTAAGTTAATTAATTTCATACTACAACAACTAAAACACACATACAATAATAATACTGTATACTTAAATATAAAACAAGTTAATTTAAGTTATTTAAATTAATAATATTATTATCTATACTATAAAAGCGAAATAGAAATCTTTGTTACGGGTTGGCTCCGAAACAACTTGACCGTTTAGGCTTATTCTTTTTTTGTTTTGTTTGTAATTGTCAGGACAAGATTCTTGTGAAAGAAAATTTTAGGAAAATCTACCGGAATAGTAGGAAATCTGGATGTCAAAAATACAATGGTAGTGCCATCTGTCCAGGAAAAAATAAACTAAATAATAATATATTTTTGTTTATTGTAAGGTTGCTATTGGTTATGATTGTTATAGTTTTAGTTGTTAAATTTGAAGAATTTTATTAAAATAAAAAGAGGAAATCAAACCTTGGCAGCTCCACAAATGGTGCTAAGAGGATGCGCTTATCTAGGAACAATATAGTTGAAGGTGAAATTAATGACATGTCCGCTGTATGAGAATTAAGTAAAAACAAAAAACTTGGTATAACTTTAATACTTTAAATTAGACAGAATTTGTGGAGCCACGAAACAGCCCCACAGTTTGCAAACAACTATCCACGGGGGCGGAGCACGAGGGTGACAGCTTGTCTATATATATACAAATGAATGTATGTATGTGTGTCTGTGTGTGTGTCCATATTACCATGGCAACCAGTTATATATTATTTCGAGATTTCCGTTTGTGGGTGTCTCCATATTACCATGGCAACCAATTATATATTATTTTGAAATTTCCGATGGAATGTTTTGTATATAAATGGTTGCCATGGTGATATGTAAAACATATTATTCATACAGAGTTGGCAGTTTTAATGGGCAACGAAGTGCACGGGATCAGCTTGTTATTAATAAAATACTATCATAGCTAAATGATATATTTTTGTTATATTAAATATTATTTGTTCATCTATTTTCAGTTACTTATGATTTATGTAACTTATAATTTTTAAAAATTAAATTAATTTTACTAGACATTATAGGTAAGCATAAATATTTGTGCTTGTGTGTGAGTGTGTTTAACATTCAATAGATATCTTACCTATATATTTTTGTTTATATAGAATAATACATATAGGTAGGTTATAAAGATATTAAACACTAGAAGTCAAACTGGGAGTCAAACATAACATAAGTAGTACATCTTTACCTACATTGCAAATGTTCAGAGACATTTTAGTTCTGTTTTAACAAATATGTTTTATTAAATAGGTATTTCGTTCTAACTTTTTTTCTACATTAATTGTAGTGTATTAACATAGAGGGCAGAGAGAAAACAAATACTGCGCTGACATCCTCTTCATGCTTGAGATGGTGAAACTAAATGGTTTTATATTTTTGTACATCATATGTATGAAAATAACTTTGTTGCACCAAATTAGTTTTGTACCTAGTGTATAATTGCTTGTTTATTTTTAGAATGTTCCTCAGCCTATTTTAATATGAATAACCGAGTGAATAAATTAGTAAATAATCATCTTTTTGATAATTTAATAGTCATTATTCACAAAAATGGTACCTACTTACTCTATTACTAGAGAATAAGTTAAATTGTATTTTACACCAAAATTGTTCATAATTACTACCTAAGGAGCATTATTATCAAAATAGTACCCACTATAAATTCCTAGATCCACCACTGTAGACCACACTAAACTAAATTAAACTAACTATTTTTGAAACTGTATAGAAGAACCCATACTAAAATAGGCTTCCTAAATGCGGATATACTTATAATAAATAATTAACCTCATAACGGAAGACTACCAATCATAAAGTAGTGAAGTACCCTATCATGTACCTATAGTATTAGGCTAGGCTCAGAGTTTGGGAGCATAAAAAATGAGCACAGCCCCACTGTTTATACTCATTACTCACCGTTGTGACCATTAGTTCTCAACATTTTACTGTAGTACTGCCGTTACATTAACATATCATCATCTATCATAAATTAATGTAGCCTTACAATGTAAAAAATGTGGGTAAGTGGATGTCGCTCTGCTGTAGAGTAGGTAACAAGTGTGTCAATGTATAAAGGATTGTATTAAACTTGAATTCAATGACATAATATCTTTGTATAAGAAAAACGATTCTGAGCGGAGACGGTTTGTCAGTCTGGATATTGTTATTATTTATTATATCCTGTAAGTTGAATCTATATTATAATAGGTATTATTATTTTTTGTTAGTTTCTATGGTGATAAACAAAGCGTTAGAAATTAAAATCCCATTTTTAGTGGTTTTTCATAGTCTGTAATTTGTGGTAGTCTTTCCTGTGGTATTAAATAATCATTGAGAAGATCGAAAAATTACCTTTCTAAAGTACCATCTTGATCCAATTTGCTAAAAGATAAGGTACTATATGTTGAAATTGAAGCACTCCTTTTGGTAGATATATTGTACTACCTACACAGGATTTAAAAAAAAAAAAAACACCATAGTAAAACCTTTAGCTTACTCGCTCCGCTCAGAATCTCAAACGAGATAAAAAATAATAACACCCATATTAGGGATACATAATTTAATATTTCAAAAAAAAATTATTAATTTATGATTTTGATACGTACCATTATCAAAAAATGGCTCAAAATGAATTTCATGCCCACCCCAACTATAGACCAAAATATAATTATTTACCTATGCATTATTTATTTACCTAGCTAAGCATTTAGATATTATGTTTATTCCCGTGTATATTACTACCCCATTGAATATTTACAAAAATACTTTTTAAAAGTAGGTATATTTTTCCTACTCTGCCGTTTTCCTAGTCCATCTTAAAAATAAATGTAAAGTTACTAACCTGATTTCCATTAAGTTTTCTTTTTAAATAAACTTCATTCAATGGCTCCAACAATACTATAGGTTGAATATCTATGGACTTGAAACTTTTTAATGTTTTTAGCTTCTTTGGGACTTTTTCATGTGTGACCATAGACACTGTGACATCAGATAGTTTTCTTTTTGCAGAATTAGATACCGTTTTTCTTAAAACAACTTTTATACCTTTGGATGAACTTGATTCAATAACAGGCTCATAAGTTAACATTTCTTCAGCGTTTTCTTCAGTTTTCAAATTATATTCACTTTGATTTTCATTTTTACTCGAATTTTTGGATTCATCTTCTAAAGATAATTCTTGATTTAGGTTTGTTGTTGAAATTGGTGGCATAAATACTTCAACATTGTTGTCAGGGATAAAATCGTTTTTGGTATCATTTTCTATTTGTTCGAGAGCTTCAGCTAAATTTTTGAATTTCTTTTGTTTTCTTCGGGGCTTAGCTAGTTTATACTTGTTTTCTTCATATAGACAGAGTGCATTTGCTTTACATTCTCCGTAGTTACCAGTTCCATAAAAATATACAGTATAAATTACTTCTGATTCAGTGTTAGCTTTGATACCAATTATTAAAGCAGGCCAGGCAGGATATGCTCGTCGTTTTACAAAGACCTTGTCTTTGACGGAAAATAGTTTTTTCTCAAACATTGAACAAACCTAGGTAAAAGGAATAAAAGTGAATAAAGAAAATTACTTGTTAGGTATTTCTATTATTTATGTATTTAATATTTGCCGATGAGTGGGTTAAAAAAAATCAATAAGGTAGGTAGGTAGATATTTCAAAAACTAGGTATCTTGGAAGGTACAAATGATTATCAAAAAACATATTTAATAAGATATCTAAAAATGAAATGTATCAATATTAATCGGTTGAATAAATTCCAAGCTTAAACAATAATATTGTACCTACCTAAGTAAGTATTCAACATTTAGATTGAATAACTCTACGTCTCTACCTCCATTGAAAAAAATTAATTAGCTTACCTAACTAAATAGATACCCTTGATAGTTGTAGGTACTCGGTTGGCTTAAATCTAGTTTAGCAGCTCCTCGAAATTTCAATTTTTTTTTTTTTTTTTGAAACATGTAATTCGACGAGTGTAGAACACCGAAAATAGCGAACTTCGCAAGTCTATAACATAAAAACTAATCATTTCCGCAAATTTATTTTTGCCCCATCCTTATAAACTCGTCGAATTACATGTTTCAAAAAAAAAAAAAATCGAAATTCCGAGGAGCCGCTAAACTAGATTTGTTCCACTCGGTTAAATAAAATAAGTGTCATTATAAACTTGATCATGCAATATTATATACAGTGAAACCTCTAAATACCGGACAATCGCTGAAATTTTATCCGAAATTCGGAGGTGTCCGTTATTCAGATTTCAGAGGTTTCATGGAAAGTGTGTGTAATATAGTTGGTTCTCAAGAAAATGTCCTCTATTTGGAGGTGTCCATCAGGAGAGGTTCCTCTGTAGGTATATTATATCGGAACATCATAATATTATTCTGCCATAAGTCGAGAGCGTTACGACTAATTGTCGGTCCGGACCACGTCTGTCCGTTGTATCGACAGACATATCATTGTAGGCAGGTACTTACTTTTGTGCTTGGATGCAGGCGATCGGTCGCGACAAAATTCGAACAGAATCAAAATTTTATAAAAAAATCGATAATCGACGGACGGATGAAAGTTACCGCCACGCGCCTTAAACGGCCGACAAGTCGCTACACACAACAACTTCTTGCGACGACGATTTAGGAGTGAAGAACTGCGAGAAAAGCGAAGAATATTGGCAGGTGTACAGTGTGCAAGACCCACCGATTACGAAAACCGGTTGACGAAAATACGTTGAACGGACACCGAAAACAAAAACATAATAATATTGTATCTACGTAATAAAATATAAACAATAACTACGATAAGAATAACTATAGGTAAATTAAGAACAACAACGTCGACCAGATAATAATACAATAGGTCGAGTGGACTTTGACCGACGAATCGTAGAACTGGCTGCCGGCCCCGCCAACCATTCTAATTTTGTCCGTAAATCCAAAATTATAGTTATTCGTATTTCTTAAAACAGTTGGTGACTCAGTGTTGCCACATCATAGATCACCATCGGCAAGTGGGAAGTGCATTGAATGCACGATTTAAGATATCGTGATTGAATGCTATATAAACATATAGATAATATAAGAACATTATCTATGGCTATAAATTATTAAATAGATCTAGAGAGCCTTTAAAATATAAAAGCTCTCGCTCTCTAAATAGATCTATAAACTCAAGGACTGAGCTTAGAGGGAGAGGTCAAGGGGTACGATATAAAAGAGATAAAGGAACGTGGGGAAATACACGACTGTTGGTTTATAGGTCTATGAAGTATGATTACTACCACGGACTAAGATAATTAGTGTATAATAATTATAATATTGTATCTTAGTCCGTGATTTCTGCTTTATGTTATTTCTCTCTTTTCTCTCTTTGTTTTTTCTTCTTCGGGGGGAAGGGGGCTATAAGCAATTGAAAAATAATATTATTTAGTTTTATTCGTTATAATATGTAAAATTCAATTAATTTTGTTTATGAGTGAACAGGATTGAAAAATTAATATAAGTTTCCTCAGAAATGTTTCTTTTTGAAATTAAATAATTTCTAAAATGCAAATGATTGATTATGTTTAAAGACATATCAAGTTTAAATTTCAACAAAATTGAATATCACCAAATTCAAATAATTTTACATTTTTTGTTTCATTCAAAAAATATTGACTTAAGACTTTTTACCATGCATAATGCATATTATTATTATTAATCTTATATAACATTAATACATTATCAATCTTGTTTACTCACAAGCAAAAATTTTATCTCGCATTAAACAAAAAAACTAAAGAAAATAAATGTCTAAAAATATTAAGTAGTGTAAAAAGAGACAAAATATTTTGAAATGTAGGTATCTCATGTCTATAGAATGTATATTAAATGTATACCTACTATATATTAAAGTATCTATACAGTTATTGATTATTGAATTACAACAAAAAACAAAATCATTCTCATTTTTTTTAAATTTTGATTCTGAGTGGAGCGAGGAAGCTAGTGGTTTTACAATGGTGCTTATTTTTGTGTTTTAAAAAACAAAATTTTTATTCTGTCTACAAAATTTTTACCAGAAGCAGTGCTTCGATTTCAACATATAGTATCTTATCTTTTATCTTAGAAAATTGGATCAAGATGGTACTTTAAAGAGGTCATTTTTCGATTTTATCAATAGTTATTTAATGCCACGGGAAATACTACTGACAAATTACGAAAAACCGCTAAAAATTTCTAACGCTTTGCTTATCACCATAGCAACGAATAAAAATAATTATATTATAATATTAATTTAACTTTCAGGCTATACCTATAATAAATAATAATAATAATATAAAAAATCCAGACTGACAAACCATCGCCGCTCAGAATCGTTTTTCTTATACAATGATATTATATCATTTAATTCATGTTTAATACAATCCGTTATACATTGACACACTTGTAACCTACTGTACAGCAGAGCGAAATCAACTTACCTGCTTTTTTTCTATTTTTTTTGTTTTTATTATTTACTGCCTTTTTTATATCTTTATTTCCAAAAATATACTTCCCTACACCTTATTCCACAAGCTTATAGCCATATGTAAGTGTGGCACGACTATGATGGAGTTTGAGTATGATTATAATATTTAATATTTATAAGTATCTCTACAACTACCTATGTGAGGTAATTTTTTTTATCCTGTATACAAAATTTCTACCAGAATAGGAGTGCTTTGATTTCAACATAATAATTATACAGTACCTTATAATTTACCAAATTGGATCAAGATGGTAGGTAGGTAGGTACTTTAAAGAGGTCATTTTTCGATTTTCTCAATGGTTAGGTATTTCATGCCACTGGAAACACCACCTACAAATTACGAAAAACTACTAAAAACAGTAGGTATTCTAATTTCTAACACTTTGCTTATCACCATAGAAACGAATAAAAATAATAATAATATTATAATATTAATTCAACTTACAGGCTATAATAAATAAAAATAATATAAAACATTTAGACTGACAAACCGTCGCCGCTCAGAATCGTTTTTCTTATACAATGATATTATATCATTGAGATTGAATTCAAGTGTAATACAAATATACAATCCATTATACGTTGACCCACTTGTAACAAACTGTACAGCAGAGCGACATACACTTACCCGATTTTTTTTTTTGTCTGTCATCAGTCATCACCTTTTGGGGCAGTAAAAGTGACTTGAAGTGTAAAACTGCTTCGATTTTCTTCAACGGTATCTTGTTCGATGGGAAAGTGAATCTAGTTTGTGAATTCGGGAGATTAAAATTCCCAACTAACTTCAAATGCACCGGGAAAAACCACATATATAAGAATTAAGAAAAAACTGGAAATTTTCCCCAAATCGGGTTTCAAAAATATTTTGTTTGTCTTGAACTGGCATTTTCAGTTTCCAATTTATTTAGTTTTTTTTCTATAAATGTCAATAAAATTGTATTTGTTTTATAAATAACCTTGAAAATAATCTACAAGGCTCCTAATAGGTTGTTACAATGACATTCAAAAAATATTAAAACTCCATATTCACAATTATTTTTTATATGCATATATGGTTCAAATGTTGACAAAATATGTAAAAATCAAGAAAGTTTGGAAATTAATTGAGTAAGAAATGTAAAAAATATTTTAATTTTGAAATCTAAGATTTTAATTTATAATACAAGATTCCTCAATTCCTCATAAGTTTGTCTACCTTTATCAAAAAAAAAATGTCTACTAAAATTTTAAATTACATTTTTATTAGCGTTTGAAGTTTATATTTTTACAACATTGGATATTCACTCAATTTCTCATGTAGCGATTTTCTTATTTTGTTGTAATTGAAAAAAGAACTATTGTAGACACATGGAAATTTCACTGAATGTTTATATTTTTATTTTCTATACAGAATACAATTTTGAAAATATTTTGACAAGTTTTGAGCTGTTTACAACCATTTTCAGTTTTCAATTTCTTTAATTTTTTTTCTATAATTGTCAATTAAATGTTATTTGTAGGCTAAAAATACTTGAAAATGTAATACAAGCAGGCTCTTGATATATTTTTATTATAGTAGTTGAAACATTTTAAATATACGACATAGGCACAATATTTTTTTAAAGCATTTAATGTTTGAATTTTGACAAAATTTATAAAATTTAAAATGTAATAATTATTTTGTAGTTAAAAATTTATAAAATGTACAAATTTTATAGCTAAGGGTTGAAAATTTACAAAGGGTTCCACTTAAATATAGGTTATATATACATTACTTTAATCAAAATAATATCATCAAGTATACTTAGTAATATCACTAGGTTAGTATAAATAGCATAGTTTTCGCTCAGAATAATGATATATTTATATTATATAATTGAATTCAAATTTAATACCATCCCTTACAGTGACCCACTTGCAAGTTGTAACCCACTAACTCACTTTTTTATTTTTGATTCTAATATTTAGACTGATGACAAAAACTCTATTATACCTATATACAATCAATAAAATTACACATACAAAAATCGATGAATAA